TATCATATTTTATCATCATTTATATTAGGTTATGCATTCATGACACAGATGCTTAAATCTTTGGCTAACGGGAAAATTGTTCTTGCTCTTGAAGGTTTAATTAATTTATAGTGTTTATTACATATATTTTGAAATATATATATTTGTTAATATATAAAAAATTTTATTATAATTATAGGCGGATATGTTTTGGAGCCATTATCAGCATCTGCTTGTGCCTGTTTGTCAGCCTTACTTGGACCTGAATTGTCACCTTTAGAACAATATCAGTTGATTGGTGGTTTAAATTCCGTAAAACCAAATTCGGTCCGTCTTTATATGAATAATAAATGGTCTTTATCGATCGACTAATTATATTTTAATTAATTCAATAGGCTGCTGTTTCTTCATTTCAGAAAGTTGTAGCCACGCTAAAACAATATTGGAAGTTCCCGGAAGAAGTCATGCGCGATGACTTTCGATTTTCACTACCAAGCGAATGGCGTGCAGTAAATAGCTTATCAACGAGGCCAAAACGTGCACCAAAGCCAAAACGTAGAATGCCTGTAGAAGGTTAATTTTATTTTTATTTATACGGCCAAAAAAAAAAAAAAAACAAGGAACAATTTTTTTTATGGAACATTGGACATTTTTCTCGAATAACTTTTGATGTTTTACTAGTGGGACGTTAGGTTGAGGATGTTTTATAGACTTAAAATAGAAGGCGACATATATATACCTAATAACACAACCGACATCCATTGCATGTACGATTGGCGCAATTAATTTTTCACGCAAAGCCCGAAAATCTCATGCATACAATGTACAGCACTAGCATATATATACATAGATAGATTTCTTCATTCTGGCATTTATTAATGTAAATGCAACATTTGTTGAGCAAAAAAAAAAAAATACGCGAACGGATTTTAACAATTTTATTTTGTCTTTTATTGATTTATTCGCCGGTGCAATCAAGCGCAATCAAAAAGTAATAATTATATAGAACATTAATTTTATGGAAATTCTAAAATTTAAATTTTGGAATATCAAACTACTTAGATTATAACATATACAGTACAGTAGCATTAAAATTTTAATATATATCATAAAAAAAAAAAAAAGGGGACATTATGCTTTTATAAATATGATGGATCTTATTGATCTTATAGAATTTGAATTCAATTCATGAATTCAATATTAAATATGTGGGGTCGAACCAAAATTTCGATAACTTACAAGGTCACGAAAATTGTACAGATCCACAAAACGAAGCGAATAATTATTTTACTATAAAAAATACATACTGATAAAAAATCTATGTTTTAAGATATTCTGATATGCATATGTATGTACTATTAATTGCTTTAAATTAAAACAATTATTGATTATTAATACATTCTGGAACCTCTAATTTATCACCAAAATTTGATATTATCCATAATAAAACACCATTTGTCCATCCAAATCCATCCTGAACTTGATATTCACCGCCGTTACCCGGCACACCGGTATCTAACGCGCTGTATTCTATGAATCACGAATGAAATAGTTTAATTAAAAGGCAATTATAAACTAATTATAAATGATTTATAAAACTATCGTTAGAATTTGCAAAGAAATTAACTTACTTTCAAAAATATGTCCAACATCGGTAGTGTTTTGTAATTTAATCAATAATTCGGGTATGGATCCACCCGTTGAATACCAAGCACACAATACAGAAGAAACATAACGTTGACTTATATTCAATGCAAGATCTAAGAACTTTGAATCCTCTATATTTTGAGAATTGCTATAATAACCATGATAAGAATTTAAAAGACCTTTGATTATTGCATAAGTCAATGGAGGCCAAGAATTTGGGAAATCCCATTGTAAACCGGAATTGATTTCTGTGGCTGGTGGACAACCTTTATATTTTGATAATAGGTATGATACATTAGAAAAAGATTTGTAATTATTTTTCGAATCTGTAAGCATTTCTTCTGGTAATGCTCGAGCCCTAGAAATAAAAAAATATTAGTAACAATATTAGTAATATTATAATTTAAAAAGACACTTAAATCTTACCAAAATGGAAAATATGCAGCGAGAGAAAATATTTTAGATTGAGTATTACTGGTCAGATTATAATCTCTAAACGTTGCAGTGTGATTATCCCAAAGTAATTCGATCATCCCTTCAAGTCTTTCTTCCGCCGATTTCTTTAGTCGTTTTACCGTCTCATTTACCGTTTTCCAATCATCAATTTGTTTCGCGAATTCGGATAGGGTAATTTCATTCATATATAAAATTGAATTTAATTCAATCGGGACTACAGCTCTAGTATTTAACGTACGAAGAATTTCAAAGTTATTAGTAGAACTGTTAGTTGGTGGTTTAATGTAAGGATTTCTTGCCCATCTCGATGAGAAATCCCATCCTGATTCTGCAGCTGTTGCTATGTCAGAGTATAATTCATGTTTCACAGTTAAATTAAATGAATCCAGTTCGACTGTAATATAATCCTCATAATAACTTTCTGGGCGTGGATAAAAATTATAAACATCATAATGACTTAAATAATATGTTTTATCATTTTTATGTACACTTATTGTATTGTTTTTATACCAAAAATTGTATTCTTTGAGCAATGTTGGAAATGCTTTGCGAAGTAATGAGGTATCATTAGTAGCTTCATAATAAATTTTCACCATTTGGGTTAATAATGGAGGTTGGGAACGATTTAAATAATATATTCGTGAACCGTTGGCTTGAATTAAAATATTAAAATATTTTAGTTAGTAAAAAATAAACAATATCGAAAATATAATTGACATGATTTTTGACATTTAGGTATGTAATAAATTTAAAATATACTTTACTTACGCACAAACCCATAAATCTCTACCAAATCCAAAAAATTCTCAATCATATTCTTAGCAATTTCATATAACTCGCTAACCAATAATCCTTCAATAACAAAATAACTATCCCAATAATAAATTTCTCGGAATCTTCCACCGGGTATTACAAAGCTCCTATTGACCGGGATAAAACTCGACACACATCCTGAACACATAAAGCTTTGATCAACTTTGCGCGTAAGGTTTGACCAATAATTATGTACTTGTTTGGCAAATTCACGAATAATTGGTTCTTTAATTTTTTCAAGGAAAGATGGAGATGGATTAAAATTGGGTAATTCGATTTGAATTAATTCTTGACCTTCTTTAGAAAAATAAGTGTTGACAAAGTCTTGTAGTGTAGATTTGGATGCATTTTGAGGAAGTTTGTTTCCTGCTTCTAGAACTTCATTAAGAGGTTTCTGTGTTGGCTGTTAAGTAAACTCATTCATATTTAGATCAAAAATTTTGATAATTTCGATTATCTTTAAATAAATAACTTTACCATATCAACAAAAGTTTTTGAATCATTAAATAAACGAGCTAATTGAATTTGTTCAAGAATTGGGCCAGAACAGTATATGGGGATATCACAATTAAGTTGTGCGCCAAAACTCATATTTATCAACCATATAAAAATGACAAACCAACAACTAATTTTTTGAAATTGCATCTTTACAGATTAAATTGATAGATGTAAGATTTGTGGCAAAGTTAAATAGGAGTGTGTATATAAAAAAAAAAAAAAAAACAAAAGAACGTAAGAAACCTTAGTGTTAATGACTGATCAATCAATCGTGAGGCTAATTACGATAAGCTTTTTATAGATTACGTATTAGCCATAACGACGACGACAATGACCGGATTGAAAATCAACGATTACAGCCGGTAAGAGTTAAAAAAAAAAAAAAGGGAACAACCAGTAGGAGTTAAAAAAAGGAAACCGGCTATGCTGGCTTGGCAAATTAACTTCGATTCATAATATATATATGTATTATCTTTGAAGTTAAAAAATTGGTACACCAAATAACACGCCTAAATTGGTAAATTTATTTAGCATTTTTGATGTATGCACGAAGATCTAATTTCAGGGGCATAGTTTGATAGGTCAACCTACATGCATTCATTGCATTCAATGCGTATAAATGGTATAATTGGTTACTTTCGAAATAAAGTATTCATGTGAAACAAAAAAAAATATATTTAAAATTACCACTATACAATATCGATATAAAAAATAACGCAGTAAAATATATCGATACGGCACAGTGAATTTCATGTTCCATAAATATAATATGCATAAATTAAAATATCCTGAAAAAGTTGGTTCGTTTCCTAATTAGAAAAACTTTAGATTTGAAAAAAAATTATAAATAAAGACATTACGTTACGACTCCGAGTTATTCTATATATATTAGGTTATGGCAAATTTTAATGGTTTCTTTTTTTGATTAAGATTTTTTTATTACAAAAGTGTTGATAAAGAGCTGATTGTTTTTCGAAAGTATAATTAGTATAAGCCGCAAACAATTGGAAATTTTAAAGATTTAAATGTTTAGCCGTTTCTCATAGCACACATACTATACATATGTATGCATATACGCACGCACATATAAATGTTAAAGAGTGACACACCCGCCCGACCTATTAATTTTTAATCATAAAGCCTTTTATAATAACGAAAATAGTAAAAAAAAAATTTTTTCCTAAAAAAAAGTCCGGCTGAATTACGAGAAAAGAATTAATTTTGCATACGTAGCTTATTACAAGTACTAATTTGTAAATCTGTGTAATAAATGTCAGAATTAGATGGCTTATAGAAAATTTTCTATTTACGTATAGGTATATGTGTACATAAATCATCGTTCGGAGTATAGCGGACTCCCTAAATCTCATAGGACGAAATTCGTCTGATTGGTTAATTTTTGTCGATCGACCCGTGATTTCCCGTGATGGTTAACCAATCAAATTACATAATTTTTAAAAAATTGGACGACTAGAAAACGACAAAAGAAATTTACCAACTACGTAATAAATACACGCAAATAATTAATAACATATATTTAGAAAATAGATAGGGACATGTAAAATATGGCAAAATTTAATATTTATTACTAAAAACCCAACTCATTAAAGAATCTACAATATATGATATAATCTAAAAATTTTACGCTTAATAATCCCAAACTATACTAAAAGAG